ATGAGTCGTCGTAATTATGTGAAATCAAACAAGAATTGCATCCATGTAAAATTATGTATTTAAATGCGATTGTACAGCTTTTGAAAATGAAATAGCCGAAAAGATATCTTTGCTGAACTTCGCGTTCTCTTCTTATCTCAATACCACCACGATTTCTCGTGCGGATAAGATTTCTGCTCTTGTCACTTTTTTTTAAAATGAGTACAAATATAATGTTTTTAAAATCAACTAATCGAAGTGATGATGTTATATTTTTCTGGAGTGAAAACTGTTTGTGATTGCTACTTCACATTTTAGGTTTCCCCTTGAGTCATTTTGCTAGCTAAGTTTATATATTCGATAAACCATAACTCTGTAATGTTTAGTTGGGTCAGCTGATGCACTGAAACTCTATCATACCACAGCTAGCTAGTGTTAAATCAGCTGACTGATGTATGCGTTAAGTACAATAATAGTAGTATAAGCCAACAATAGACAGTAATATAATACACTTTACTAGAGGTAATATGTAATAACAGCAAAGATTGAACTTCTTAAGGTTAGCTTAAGACAATCCTCACTAGTTTGCTGATGTTCCAGTTTAGGGCATAACACATTTTAGTCTTCATAATCTAAGAAGTCAATTCAGCTGCTATGGTAAATAAACTGTTATTCAGGAAAAGTTTCACTTTCTTTCAAAGGACAATAAATTATTGGTGATAAGGACTTTGAATTTAGTTCTCATGGACCATTAGATTTCAGTCCAAGGGAAGTGAATAATTCTACTTGGGTTTTCGTCACATTTCAATATCCGTCATAAAAAAGCTTTGAGAGAACCAAGTAGATGTGATTAGCTACCCAGTTGGTTGTAGCTTAGCACTAACAAATCCTGCTGAATGCAGCCGATCATCTTCAGATAGTTAAGGTGAACACGCTGTCACTTAGTTGCCTCTTTGAATTCCATTTGAAGATGTTTTTCTAACCGTGTCAATGTATTACCGTCGTCGCCAATACTTGTAGCTACAAATTTTCGTTATTTCGGAATTAAGTCATCAGATTAGTGATAATATTAGCAGTTGTTTCGTCTAAAATACTTCATCATGATTGATCAGAGGAATTATTCAGAATGAGTTCCCTGCTTCTTTTTTTTCGGTCTATCCCATTCGTTCATCAGCGGACGATTTGATGATGTCTATAGTATGTGGGCGAAATGCGTCAGCTTTTTTGTCAAAATATTAATCCATTAGGTATTATCTACTTTTTTTATTATTGATTTCATCTCATGCTCCAGTAATGTTATCGGGATACTAATATATGGTGTACGGAATCCTACTCTGCTGGCTATATGTATATGCATATATATATATATATATATATATATATATATATAAATACAAAACAATTCGAAATTGTTTATTGTTCAGTATTTCTTACTCTTTTTGTTTTTATTATCATTCCACATAAAAATAAGTCATGTGTTCAGACATAATTGACAACAATGGCGTGCGTGCTTCTTTGCTCTGTGTGTATACACGTGCAGTTAGTGTCTGTGCATATAGGCTACAGGACTTATTTGTTGTTTATGCTATTAGTTCTAGTATTTTGTTACTGTAGTCAAAACTAGGCGAAGAGCGAAGGAAAAGAAATGATTCATCAAGAAAGAAAGAAAAAAAAACGACCAACACTTCACTGTATTTACACACTATCAAATTTCACCCAAATTGTTTTTCCTCATATATCTCATTGTCTAGTATCGGTGTCATTATTAATTTAGTTTCTACTCATGTACACAGGATTACCGTAAGGAGTGTATGTCTGTCTATCTTTCTATTTATGCGTGTATGTCTAGTAGTAGATGTGACGCTTTCTAGCTTATATTTTTTGATACATTGTAGAATTGTCTGGGCTATTTCTCTTATCGACTTAAACTCTTATTTAATAGAACTACTATACATGTTTTTGTCTCCATCTGCGTCTTCATTTTGTATATACTATGCAAACGAACACCACGGAATAGTGGTGTGAAAGAGAGAGGTGAGAGAGAGGTTGTCTGTGTTATTTTGTCTACCTTAATTGCATTGATCATGTACTTTAACAAGGTGGACTTTTTGTCTTGTTCATATGCGACTATAATGCATATTTTTAGTTATTTCTTATATTCCCCTATCTCTCTATATATCTTATATGAAACAATTATTATGACTGTTAAAATTTTGTGTCTGCGTCTTTTCTGTACTGTTGACTCTCTCATATATATATATATGACCACACAATGTACACATGCACGTCTACAAATACCGACAGATAGGGTAAGACTAAGTATGTCTGCGTCTGGTATTATGATGTATTGATTAATTTCTCACTGCTCTTTTTTGCCATTATGTTTTCATCATAACACTGATGATGGTGTCTGGAGGAGATGGGGGGGGTGGGGGTGGGTTTGTCTGATTTTCCTAATATTACTGTTGTTGTCTTTGTTCTTTTTGTTTTCATACTGGGACACGTACTGTCTGGGTGTTTGTCTATGCTTATTTATCGACCTGTCTTGAGTGTATAATTATGTAAAGTGTATAATACAACCCAATCAGCATTAATTCACTGTTTTCTGAAAGAAAAGTCAGAAAAGAATCAGTTTTCCATTGTATCCTTCCTTTTCTTCCCCTAGTCAGTCATGATAAAACCGTCGCAATAATTTCTCAACGATACAGATATATACGCCTAATATTCCATTTATATGGAATATTTAGTTAACTGTTAGTTGGGATATAATTTGAATTGTTGTATGAGACGTTTATAGCAAATTGAAAAGTCACACTGTTGAAAAACTAGTTCGCTCCATGATATTTTTTTCTGTTTTTACTTCATTGCAATAAAGAATTCCCTGAAGATGTTAAATAAGTGAATTCTTCAATATAGAGGGGAAACAATTTATTAGGTTGGGCTGCTAACTCTCTTATTAGGCTTTAAGTGTTCATATGACGTTCACCAGTCGTCTCCATCTATAAAAGATCTCTGGGAGCGAACCAATCAGGAACCGATTGTGAAACAAATAGGCAGAAAGAAATGGAGATGGATTGGCCATACGCTGAGGAAACCATCAAGTGACATCACTAGACAAGCCCTCGAGTGGAACCCGAAAGGGAGGCGGCGAGTTGGTCGTCCAAGGGTGACTTGGAGGAGGTCATGCGAGGAGGAGATGAAAGCATGCGGACAGACCTGGAGCAGGGTGAAAAAGTTGTCAGAAAACCGAAGGCAATGGAGGTGCGCAGCTGAAGCCCTATGTTCCTCTAGGAACTAAAGGATAAAATAATAATAATAATAATATGTGCATCTATCAGTTCACTTGCTATTGTAAAGCAAGGTACATTGGTCGTAGCCGGAGAACGCTTTCGTCACACGGATACGAGAGCATATTCCAGCATAGTTCTACAAGGGAAAAGGGAGGGGTGTTCGAAGCTCTATTCTAGAACACCTGATCGACTCCTGTCACTCCACCAGCCTTTACCATGATTTTAAGATCATCTATCGAATCCATGCTAATTTGCCGCGTTTTTCTTCGTTATAAACTTCTAAAGACAGCGGAGGCCTTGACCACTCATGAATTTAAGCCAGGCCTTTGTGTATAAAAGAAGTGTGTACAATTCCTACTTCTGCCTTGGCCGTAGAGGGATAGATATTTATTTATTTATTTAGTTAGTTAATCTATGTACCTGTTCCTCATTACTACGATTATTATTATTATTATTCTCACTTTGGATTGTTTCTACTCGTCATTCTAAATCCAAAATGTTTTTAGAATGTTGAATTTTATCTTATCGAATTTCACATCATGTTATTTAACGTTTTATATTAGTCTACTAACCCTATAATTATTTATACACCCCCTTTGAACATCTATACTTTTCACGAATTGTTCTGTATGTGACATTAATTGTTTGCCGCTTGACATTTAACTTTCATTATAGTCACATACATTTTAATTGCATTTCATATTATTATTATTACTTCATGTATTTACACCTTTAATTCAATTCCCCCACTGGATATAATTTCTTAAAAACCATATGCATATATATATATATATATCCTATTGTACATCTTAATAATAAATTCGTTGGTGAGGGTCTCTTCGCTGAATATTGTGTTCTTAATGTTACAATGAGAATTACTAAATTATGGAAGCAAGATTAAAATGGCCGTTTTTTCCGGGGGGAATGTATACTATCACTAAATTGCTGGTTATTATTATTGTTTAGTATTAATTAGGATTCGAAGTCCAGAACATACGTCTTGCTATGTTGTGTTTCAGACTGATTAATCATCAACCTGCAAGCTATTGAGTGTTTTGATCCTGCCAATGACCTTCGGAAGCAATCATTCACTGGCTTAACACGTCAAAGAAAAAGATAATGTTATCAACTGATTTGTTGAGTTAGTTACAGTAGTCATTTGTAGTTGAATGAGAGATAATGACTACCTAAAGGTTTAGTTTTCAGAGTTTAGAGTGAATTAGTCTGAAATCTATAGATTCGAGTGGTAGTCAGTTGAGTATAACCAGTTATAAAACATACTTAAATGGTGTTTTTTTAAAGTTGATTGACACTACTTTTCTTTGAAGACAAGTTGTGCACATAACTGATGGCTCTGGTAATGCAATCTCATAATATAATGATTCACTGACACACTCGGTACAATTTCTCATTGCACAGTCAACTGAACCAATAGTGACTGTAACAAGTTGGGAAATTTTTATTTTAGGTTATTCGTCATTCCTGCTGTCTTATGTTTAAAAAAATGGGATAATCAGTCGGGCTGTGAGATTTCTCGTTTTACCGATGAACTCTGTTTTAACATCAGTTATGGAACCAATCTATATCTCAATTCACGTAGGATGATATTCAGACCTTGGATTCACCTACTAGCTATTATTAAATTCACATATCTTTTATATGAATAAATTATATCATCAAAATGATTAATTGTATGTTATTTTCGTTTCTTTCCCTTTTTCCGTATATTAGGTGTTGTTGCACTCGGAGAATACATTTATGCTATTGGCGGCTATGATTCTTGTAGCCAGCTAAATACAATGGAAAGGTATGATCCCAAACGCAATTGTTGGGAATATTGTGCATCTATGCTACATCCAAGATCAGCATTGAGTGCTTCTGTATGGGGAAATGAAATATGGGTTTTTGGTGAGTTAATTTATATTTTAGAAATTAGTTGACATGTGTGGAAGTATGTATTAAGAATAATCTTGTGTAACACGGAAACACCAGAAAAGCGTATCGTGTTCTGACTTTGAAAATCATTCAGCGAGCAGTTCACTTACTAATGATACCTGGGTTGCATCTGATGTATAACCCGTTGATTGGTAAATGTTTCAGTATAGCTCTCTCGTTATAATTCTTCACACAGCAATTAAGGAATTACTGCCACTAACTTTCCTGTTGTCGTGATCATACGTTTGGTAATCATAAATTTCTTTTCAATGAGTGTAATTATAAAGGGGAAAATGATTTTCTACAGAAAAGAATTCTATGTTAAAATTTGTTTCTGTTTTTTGAAAAAAATTGAGTAAGTAACTCTTAGACACGGGGTTAACGAGAAATGCTTTTTAATGACATATGCGAACCGTGAATAGGCTCATGATGAACTGTAATAAGAGTATGCTTGAGGACAACATGTCTAGCATCCAATACCTACTTGAATTGCACGTAGAAACTGGTATTCCAACTGTAACTTAGGTTACAAACGTTGCAGGACATTATGCAGTGACTCCAGAGGTGTTTAAGAACGGTGGTAGCAAATTAAGTAAGTAAGTAAAAAAGTTAAGCAGTGTCTAGGAATCAGAGGAAGTTTCTTTGGACTGGTGTGAATTAGTGATTATCCCAACAAGTCAGGCAAGTCTTCCTGTGATAATCACAGGCGGATTTGCTTCACCATTATGGTATCAAAAGTTCTAGGCTCAATAATCATACGTAGACTAAGTGGTGTTTGAGAGAAACAAATACGAGAGAATCAGGTAGACTTTAGACCAGGAAGAGGGCGTATTGATCATATTTTCACCCTTCGACAGATTCTGGAACACTGGCGTACTTTCCGACGTCCAATAACTTCCATGTTTCTTGACCTGATCTGTAAACCGAGAGGTACTCTGACGATGTTTGGCTGTGAATGGAATATCGAGAAAATACATCACACACACTCAAACTCATGCAGCTAGCCAGGTGAGAGCCTATGGAGAGTTGTCATCTGAAGTGGTGACAACCAATGATGGCTATCAGAGAATACCACAGTCTCCACTTCTCTTTAATTTCACCAAAAATGTACTAATGAACTTAACCCTAACTGACTTCAGTGACTCAGGGATTGACTTGCTACGAGGGAATAACCTTGCTGACTTAGACTATGCGGATGAATTAGTCCTTCTAGGTAAAGACGCTGATAAGATGTAGAGTCTTCTGAACACCTTGAGCTGCAATCTGCGAATGTTTGGCATGCGATTCTCTCCTGCCAAATATAAGAGGGTGCTATAGGACTGGACTTCATCGGCTCCTAGCTTAGAGATAGGAAGTGAAGTGGTAGAATTTAGGAAGTTGCATCGACCAGTGTCAACGGGTTGATCGCTGACGAAATCTCAGCACGTATACAGAAGGCTAGTTTCGCATATACCAGTTTACGCCGTCTCTGGTGCGGACGTGATATTTAGCAATCGTTCTGAAGAAATATGTACTGCTCAGCTGTTCTATCCATCCTCTTTTACCAAATGGCCATTGAAAGTGGAAGATATGTAAAGGCTAGCTGTCTTTGATTATAGGTGTCTGCATCCTATCTTCAATGTGTGGTACGATAGGGTAATATTGAAGTTAAGCGTCGGATGTTTGGTATAGAGGGAAAGTTGATCAATGAGACTGTGAAGTTACGTCGACTGAGTTGGTTAGGATATGTGTTACACATGATAAGTATTGCCTTCTTCACTGAGCAATGTTAGCTGACATAAGATCAGATTGGGAAAGTGATATTAGTGGTCAAACCAAAACTTGGAATCATTCTTTGAAATATTTGACAACTGCCTTAAGTTAGCCGCGTAGGAAAGTATAAAGTGACTGGCTGGTCCTAAGAACCAACGGTCGGAGATAGTTGGCGATATAGCTCAAAATTGTTGCCAATAGCGTAAATGTAATCACTCTTTGTGATTTGCCGTGTCCAATAAACTCTGTTGTTTTTCCACGTTACTATTCTTTCTCCCTCACATTTCTGCTTTTTACTGTTCTTATGAATCTCTTTTTTTTCCTCTCTTTATCTTCTTTTGTATGCCACATTCCGTGTGGCAGCTCAAATTTCTGCACTTCTATGTTGAGTCCAGTCAGTCATCCTTGAGGACAAAGTATGTTTCATGTGACGAATAAATCAATCAAACTTAAGTGGCTTTAGCTTCGACATCCAACTACCTATATTCTAATAACTACTTCATGATGTCCATGATGATAATTTTTATCAAGGCTGATGATGAGATATTCACCAACAAACCTCAGGAAATATCTTAGCGATATTATCCTCACTGTCACCCCTATTTATGAAACCACTACAGTAGATATGGAAGATAATCATCACTAGAACAATGGAAAAGTTCTTAGTTTTGGTGCGGATTGAATTCTCTGTGTCCAGTGTGCACTATAGTCCTACAGAAGGCCATTGCGACCCTGGATAGCCCAGTGGTAATATCTCTGATTGGACCGCTGAGTGACCAGGGTTTGAATCTCAGGGGTTACACAAATTGCTTCGCGACTGCATCGGTGGCACAGTGGTTAGGACTCTCGCCAACCATGCACATGGTCCGAGGTTCGAGCCCACGCCCACGCGCACCTGATATCTATGGTCGGCCTGCAAAATTTGGGCTACCGATATCCATGCTGAAAATTCCATACTTGTACCAAAAATACGGTGTGGAATCAAGCTGTTATCAAAAATAAAATAAAAAATAAATATACGCCTTGATGATGAGTGTCAACAAACACGAAGCCTATGGTCCAGGCCTCTATGCTGAGAATACCTACAACCATCTAACAACAAGTATTGGCTGTTTATTTGTATTCTTTTTGGAAATCGTTGCTGTTTCTATTTGCAATACTCCTTTCCTGATTACATGTTGTTTCTACCTAATTTTACAGGAGGTTATGATGGAAGTGAATTCCTTTCCAGTGTCGAAGTCTATAATCCAACAACAGACCAGTGGACTGAACGAACTTTTATGGATTGTGGTAAATCTGGGCATGCTGTTGTACTTAGCCGTGAACCATCTTTCTAAGTCATGAACACTATCGCATCAGTTTAATAGTTATTTGGGGGAAAAAGCACAATTTGTGTGTTGTGTTCTTTTTAAATTTTACATTCCTTCCTTTATTATAATATTATCCATTCTGGATATCCTTTAGCGCCAACAAAATTATTATTCAGTCTATTTTACTGGAACTCTCATTTTATCGATGTATGTGTGTGTGTTGACAGAAATGTACTGAAAAACACGGCCAGTGCTATTTTGATGATATAATCATATTCTCTTCGACTTTTTGTCTTTGTTTTGGATTACAGTAAAAACAATAGCAGGTGTTTTACGACAGATGAAACGAAACAAACCTAATTCAGTTGTAAAATAGTCTTCTTATACTCTCCTCTCATTCTTTATTATCGGTGTATGTAAAATAATATAATAGGCAGGCGTATAAACAATAGAAACTCCTTTTTTCTTTTTCCTAGCTGTTACTAAGCGTTATTATTGCTATTGCAGTAATATACTACTAATATAAAAATAGTAGTAATATTGACCGATATCCTTTTGACATTTGTACACTTTCATGAAAACTGTTTTAATTGAAAGATTTTTAAGTCATCCTGTTATAATTGTACATACTATCTCACAGTGTTTTTTTTGTATTCATCAATCACGTTACATTTCTTTAATTTATATTTCGTTTGTTTTTGTTTGTTTTCATTTCACTCCTGTTGTATCTTTTCATGTTGTCTTTTTCAGTTATTCTTGTTGAACTTAATATATTTTTTCTTATCTCGTATACCTGTGTACATGAAACTTTGTGTTTTCCTGTAACTCTGGGAAAATGTTTACCCTTTCTACACCCAACGTCCATTATCATTTTTTATCAATTTCCTTTACTTCGTCAGCGCAGAAAACAATCATTTTTGTGAATATTATTAGAAAGAAAGAAAATTTGTTTATCATTCACTTTTAAATTATATTTCTTCATATTATTGTGCGTATGCGTTATATGTATATGTAAGTGTGCGGAACACCGATTATTTTCAGATTTGACAGTTGAACAGATAAATAGACCAACCACTGTGAAGCGTTGCATTATTTATATAGCCATATTCATACATTCCACATTCTAGTGAAAGATTTAGTGTTGAAGTGTGCATTTCATGAAATCGGTGTTTAGAATAATTGCTGACCCTGTACAGACCTACTAGTCATTGCTTTTTATTAATTCTCATGTGTAAGAACAGTTGTCTTCTAATTGGCTAATTATTCCATACTCCTTTCTAATCATCATCTAACCAAAAACCTGTAAATTATCGTAAATATGAGGGAATGATGAACGATCATTCGCATATAAAGGAACTATATTTTTCTCAAAGATCTGTTTTGATAAGCTTATTAATTTGCTGAGCTGTGACTTCTTACTCTTCGGTTGATCTCAACAGTCATAATCAAGATTGTGAACTGACAAGACCTGAGTGAACAAATTTACCTTTATTCCGAGATAGCTTTGATAAAGTACTGAAGTCTATTTTAATCTTGTCGTGTTATGTAATTCCCTAAAATCAACAAGCTACAACTGAATTGCAAAAACATGTTGAGTACTTTAGTGGAACTGTGAATGAAAGATTCTTTGTTGAAAAATTTGACCATTTGGCACGTTATTGTTACATCCCATCATTTGACCACTATTTCTAGTTATCTAAGCCACAAGGAGATATCGGCGTATACACCCTGTCCGAAACGATCAAATTACTGTTCATACTTTATATTGTTAACTGTTTCTTGCATAACCACATATGAGTTCAATTAAGTTAGAAGGCGATACTCTCTCACGTTTACCTTCCCAACTAAGTAAGCCTGCCACCACCAACTTGTTTTCAGATTGTAATTTTTGTAACTGTGTGTATCAGCTGCTTTGATTACCATTTTTCACATTTTACAAAGTTATAAATAACGTCAAAAATGAAATTGAGATACAGTGAAATATTTCCAAAGTTATTAAAAGACAGTTGGCCTGTTTGTCACGTGTACTGACTGGGATTTTAGCAACAGAATGGAAAGCAGATGAAGGTTTCTGTTACTAGTCTCAAACACTGATTGTTTCAGATTTTGAAGAATAGGAAAAACCTTTCGTTGTTAACAGAAAAATAAGTCTGCAATGGAATGATCTGCATACTAGAAGTAATAGATAAATATTCACGGCTTCAGTTTTGTGTTTTAAGCCAGTCATATGATTACAAATAACTGAAATGAAAGTCAGTTAGTGCATTGCATGACGCATCGGTGGTTCGGCGGTAGAATGCTCGCCAACCACGCATGTGGTCTGGGGTTCGACCTCCGGCTGATAAACTCCATAAAACCTTGCCAAGCCAGTGGTAGGGCCGCAAAAGAGGGGAGGTTGAGCATGGGGCTAAAAAACCTACTGCTACTGAACCTTCAAAGCTCTATCTTGAAGCCGTATGCTCCACTCGGGACGTAAAGGAACTAAATAAATAAACAATAATACATTACACGATGTAATGCAACTGACGAGATTCAGCAGAACTGAAATTGTCGTGCAAAGTATTGGGATATGTACTCCCTGATGTAATGACAACCCAGTGAAACAATGAGTAAAACTAAAAGAATTTGGAAATAATGAGTCGGTTAACTGACATCCAGTAGATTAGTAGTAATATGGTCGTCTTATGATGACAATAGATTCACTTCTTCACGGAATATCAAACTAGGATGAAACAGCTCCCTGGTGCTTCTCTGTTTTACCGTTTTGTAACGAGATCTTCTATAGGGTTTTTTGAATTATATAGCCCTTAGTCATTATAAATAATTGTAATAATAGCAGTAATACCAGTATTAATACCAAATCTAATAAAAATAATAATAAAATCAACCTTGATACTTCATTTCACAATCGCTAATATAAGCAGATGTTAAGGTAAGTCATATTAACTGATTGTAAACAGATAATGTAATTTGTTACAAAACCGAAAAAAACAAATAGAGAAATAATTAAAATTTAACTGACCTAATATGTCTAGACTTTGAATATTAATGATTGTATTAAGGGTGATGGTGGAACTACCTTTGTTTTGTTTTGTCTGAGTCTTATTTTTCTGATACACATATACGTATAAATTCTCTGACGTACATTGTGCTTTCTTTATGTATTCAATGTTGTCTGACATGCATTCGTCATAAGTAGTATCCTATTTGTTAAATACCGACGTTAGAATATCTGCCCACGTTTAATGAAATTGGTTGTGCATAAAAGACACAAGTCACAAGTAGACAAATAAACTGATGTAGTTTATGCCTTTCTATTGGTCGAGTGTATAGGCATGTGAACACGTGACTGTCTAAAAATTTCAAAGCTCTTCTACTGATGTTATGTGCTATATTACGTATGGTAACTAACAGGTAAGTGGGACGAGACTGAAGTTTTGTTCTAGAAAAAAAATAGATAAATCCCGTCTACTCCAGTCAATGGATTAACATAGGCGATGATAAAAAAAGAATTGTTCTTTCAAGTCACCTAATTTCAAAACTAAAATTTTAATGTATTCACTGATATGCCTACTATATTTTTTTCTACATTGGAATTCTGTAATAATACGCAGCAAACCTAACACAACCACTTTTTTAGAAATAATTCGCTTTGATAAAAAAAAGTATGTTTTACCAAGATATGTCAGTTTACTAACCAAACATAAGTTGGAGAACCACAAATATTCGGCGAAATCAAGCAAATGCCTAAGAATTCATCATGAATTGACATAGGTTAGAGAACCATTGGAAAACCTGGGAGTACTGGACCTTGTAACCAGGAGGTCCTGGGTTCGAACCCCGGTGGGTGCGTACTGATGAAGAGTCCCAAACTAGTACGAAACGGCTGTCCAGTACTCCCAGGTTTTCCAATGGTTCTCTAACCAATGTCAACTCATGATGAAACCCTGTAACCAATCAACTAAATCCCTACAAATCAATACTTAAATACCTAGGAGCTTGGACTTTCGAAAAGTGGGTTATAAGTTTGTACTTTGAACACAATCCTTTTCTATATGTACTTACAGAAAGTTTCTCATGAAGGAAACAGTTTACTTTTCAAGAGTAGATTAGTTAGCATTAATTACTTTCATTCTACTAGATTTTTTGCACCAGAGAGATTTCTTGTCAAGCAACAATTCAAAGGCCAATTACTTTATATCATTAGTTCACTAGGGTTGTAAAAGACAATCCATTTGCAGAAAAAATAACCAACCAACAAGAGAGATGGAAAACTAAATAAAAATTTATTCAACGAATAATATTTCAAGAGCTAGTTTTTGAGGGATCTGATAAAGTTGCCTAGAGTTCTAGTGAAAATTCTTGACCAGAGGGGTTTTTCTGGTCGGGAGTGAGAACAAATAGTCGCCAATGTCATTGGTTGGTCGTCGTGTTAAAATCAAGAATTGGTAGAATTTAAAACTCATGGGCCATTCGGTTAGGTTCCAATGGTCTACGAGCTTGACTGGTGACTGGAGGGTCCTGTGTTCAAAACACAGTAGGTGTCTACTGCTGATGGTAGGAAGCAGCTGTCTAGTACCCGCTACTTTCCAATGATATCAATCTGTTGCTAAATTTGGAATCATATTTTCTTTCTAATGATATTATTTACTAAAGATGCGTAAATATTATGACAAGCAAAATGAAAATCGATTATTGGTAATTAGTATAGTATAAAACGATATGTATTCAAGAATGTAGTAGTGATTTTATTCTACCAAGCGAAAGACACTGCATAATGTCTTAGAATACTACAACAAATGCAAAATAAAAGAAACAAACAGTTGCGGCGAAAGAAAAGGAGAGAAAATTTTCTTCACTGCAACTGTCTTTTTATTATTCCCTATGATGATCAAATGTGTATATTCCGTGCAATGCAAAATATCCAGTACACTTAATTGAATTTCGGATTTTCCCGTCGATCGATTGGACCGAAGTGCTCGGCCTCAGGTTGACATGTCGGTTTCTTGTGCAGATGCTTCGACGAT